TTGAAGGTGGCTGTGAGGAGGCAAACTGACAGGATAAATCAGCAAGGACTGCAGTCTGAGGGTTCAGCTATCAGGACCTGACTGGGTGGCCTCATATGTGCTTCCAGTCCAAGCTAAGGAAGGAGCATTTTAGGGCACCAAGGGAATATAACTACTCGATAGATTGAACAGTGCTGTGGCATCTCAGGTACCTGCAAGGGTCATACACCACACCTTCACATATGGATAAGAATGTATGAAGCATTTTAACTTCCTCCCAGATACTTGGTTATTGATCTAGTGTAACTGCTGAGAAAGAAGGAAAATCTGGACTGAGGAAGTACAACCATACAAATCCATGCAAATAAATGATCATAGAGTTGCATCATGCCAAAACAGGGGTGTCTCGACAGAAGACAGTCTCTTTGTTCAACTCTGAATAGCAAGAAAAATGAACTCCAGTTTGAACAGATAGTATTAACACTGATATTAATGTAGAATTTTGTATCACCCAAATTAAAAAGTGGCAATTCTCAGTGATTTTTTGATGTAGTCCATATCAACTATTTCTAATATACAATATATTTATTTACATATATATATATTATTTAATTATTCTATGTACCCTATGAATTTATATATGTGTCAGGATTTAGAGATAAAAATCACAATATCTATTTTGATTTTAAAAGGTTCCAGAGAAACCACCACATCTGTTTCAATAGGTAATTTTCATTTACTCTTAAAAATCAGAGATTATTTTCAGTTGGTATTTATGTAGCTTCTGTTCCTTCTTATTATGCCTTTATCTACTAGATTAAAGACTCCATTACAAGAAATAATGCAGGTAATTTTAGACTGTTGTCATGTCATTTCTTAACCTTTTTATGTAAAGGAAACAGATTTACCCATTTACTATAAGGTAGGTTTTCCAGGCCTCAGATAATTTCTTTTTTCAATCTTTGTCAATTTAACAGCAACCTTTTTTTAAATGAAGGTTAAAGGTCTAGGCACAAACCCTTTTCAGAATGTCCAGTTCCCACTGATGATTCATCTGGAAGTCCTCACTCCACGTGCGAAGTAGGCACCTTGTTTCTGAAAGACTGGGCTTGTGCCAGACTTTGTTAAGTTACCATTTATGTCATTCAAATGGACTTGCTGCTCAGCATGCTAATGTAAGTGACCGCTTACATTAGCATCCACTTATCCCGTAACATGTCATTTTTGTATCTTCTGTTCAGTTTACAAGAAATAAGAAGAAATTTATAAAAATATTAGAGTCTCTGAAATCCCTGAGCTGAAAATTTCCCATTTCCTGTTATTTGAATATTATTTTCTCATAGTTTGTCTTGTACTAAATATTTACTTTTTACCTTGGTTTCCAAAGAAATTTAATGTATACCTATGAGAGATCTGAAAACATACAGTAGACTTATCTTCTTATCTTTTTTGTTCCTCTAGTTTTCTTTCATTGAAATTTTTTCCTGCCCTGTGAGTGCACAAGGGAATGCTTATGATTGTACACAGGTATTGCAATCTTTCTACAGTGTAGGCATAAGTTTACTCACAGAACTACACAAAACCCTTGACAGAAGAGCTGTTATTTTCCAGAGCAGAGAAGTCGGGAGGAAAATCATTACACAAAGTCTTACATAAAGGTGTCTTTCTGAAGTCTGATCTTACTGTAGAGTCAACATAGAAGCTCATCCTTCTATTTCTAAAATGTTATAAGGTGGCTCATTTTAGGAACTGAAAGAAAAAACATCTTCCAAATATTCAGTGGGAACAATATTCCTCTGGTTTAAACGGAGTGAGATTGCCAGAAAGTACATCTATAGCACTAGGCAGTCTTAAGTAAAATAAATAATGATCCCAGGATTGTAGACGCCATGCTTGCTAAACACATCAGATTAGTGTTCATGTTTGATTTGTTACAAACTCTAAATCTGTCTGCACTGTTGAAGTCAGATGTTGTGTTTTGTTTGAGAGGTGGTTGAAGGATTTGCCACTTACCTCTTTTATCATCCCGTGTGAACATTTCCTTCCCATCTGAGCCATACTCTAGCAAGTGCACTCCACCAGGTTGCCTTTGAGAAGATAGAAAGCTCTCCTACTGCCATTTATAAAAGTGAGGGACCTAGGAAAGCTATTCCTTAAGATCTCAGCCATCATTACCATCTCACAATAATGACCTGATAATTAGCTCTACTCATTCTAGTTCTCCACCCTCTCTTTTTAGGCATAAAGCTCAGGCTATTGACAGGAGCCTATCAAACCTCCTATGCTACATTATATTGGTTGTAGATGTAAGACATTTCAGGGCTTTAGCAGTTACTGAATCACACAAAAACAGGATGGCAGAGATTGGCAGGAATTTCTGGAGATCATCTGGTCCAACCTCCTGCTGAAACAGAGCTACCTAGAGCTGTTGCCTAGGGCCCTCTCCAGATGGCTTCTGGGTATGTCCAGTCTGGGAGAATCCACAAATTCCTTGGGTATGTTTGCAGACAATTTCCCAGTGAGTTCTTCATGGATCTACCAACTGAATGTCAGTTAGTGGGTCACCAATGGCTCTTCCCTGAGGATATAGATGAAACGGTCTATGTCCTGGATCACTCCTTTGTGTGCCTACCAAAGGGCTGAGGACAGCCTTGTCTTTGAAGACATCAGGTCTAGGGAAACTAAGTATTTTCCTCCTAATTTTTTTTTCGGTCTTGTTCAAGGAAAGATGTGTGTTACAAGACATTTCTTAAAAAGCTATAAATACTTCCAGGGTGATAGAATCTCAGTAATTTTCCTGTTCTGTATTTCTGTGTAAGGGTGGCCTAATTTTCTGATGGTCATGTTCTTGTCTAGGTCACTATTCACCCTTAAGCCTACAACAATGCCAGTAAGAGCATTTTGAGAATTTCTGATATTACCAATTGTTTTTAGGATGTACTAGTGCCTTTTTATTGGAATTCAGTTAGAAAAATGGTACTGTATGGACTCTAGCACAAGAAGACAGGGCCATAGCTTGAAATTATGTAAATACTCATAACAAAAGGAATTCTGATAGCAGTAAAAAAACCTTAATTTATTTGTATTCAGAAAAAGGCAGGCAAGGACTGGTAGATTCAGAGAGTAAAACATGTTGCTAATGCTTTGATTTTTGTTTTGCAATATTTTCCTATAAATTCTATATATATTTAAATTATAGAGTTAGAAACACTATATTTGGCTTTTTTTTTTTCTGCAGATCATAATGTCACATGAGCTTCTAGAAAGACCTCAACTACTGGACAGTGTGAGTGTAAAGATGCAAAAATGCACCATGTGTAAAAATATACAGAAATGACTGAAAAAAAATCCCAAACAGAAAAGCAAGGTTCATGCCTACAAGATTATTTTTCAATTTTTCTGTTATATACAGTAATTTGAACAAAGCATATTGAACACTTGACTTTAAAAAAATGAGCTTTGTGATTAAACTGCCTTTTTTTATCAGAAGATTATCTAGGTCACTACAGCAAAAAAGTGCATCAGCAAGAAGGAGTATTTGCTGTGTTGATAGTCCTCTGAGCATCTTCAATAAATGCCTGACTGGAGAATGAGAAACTGTTCTCTTGCCAGTTTTCAGTAACCATATGTTGTGTGTCTCCTGAATACTGACTGCAGAGAGGTGTTTTGGATCTTCTAGACACCAGTGAAAGAAAATATTTCTACTTTCAAGAGAAAAAAAGAGAAGACAGTAGACCTTTTTGGTCATGTTTAATTGCTCTGTTTCCAGAAAAACATGCTGGATGCGAAATCTAGTGTTTTCTTGTATCCTTAGTAAAAATCAATATTTTTTTAAATTAACATCCATTTCTTCTATGATAATCAGATAAGAATTTTATTACGGTAGTACTTCTGTGTGTCTTGGACATCTTGAATAGGTCTTTTGTCCTATATCTCAATCATACGTACATGTCTTTTTATGTGGATTGGTGCGTTTGCCCTTGATGCATCTGCTCCACCTGGTCTTGAGATTCAGCCCAATAACTTTTTAATTCTTTTGTTCAGAGTGGTTAAAGACATGTATTTTAACATCACATGTTATTACTAGTTTCCACTGAAGAAAACAAAAAATTTCAAGGGCCTCCAGCCTTGCGAAATAAAAAAAAATTCTAAAAGTCATCAACAGATACTCTTTTCCTTGTGGTTGTTGACTTCTGAGGGGTTATTCTTATTGAATTTAATCAGGTGTTAGAACAGATGTCACATTAAACTGTAGGGGCTAGAATTTTCTGTGCATGAAGCTCATTTTGGTGGTATCCCCAAATGGTAATAATCAAGTGACGTGAAATAACTAAAACCATAGCTGTAGCTTGTGGATCAGGAGATATAATACTCACCTCAAAAGGTTCAAAGTCAGGAAAAGCTAGCATCTGTTTTAATCCTTTACTGAAAGCTGCTACTTCTCACTGGAGAAAATGGCATGTTTGTGCTCAGGTTCCATTTAATTTCACTTTTAAGAAAATAATAATTTTAAGGAAGTGATATATTACAATATATTTGTGTTTGTGAGAATTCCATGGGTGAGATATGTGAATAGATGGATACATACAGAAGAAATTTTTTTTGTATAAAGATATATATTTAGATACCCTTCTTTTTAATTACCTTTTTTTGAAACACAACAGAATATTTTTTATTCTCTGTTCTTCTGGAAGCACTAAGAAAATGTTAAGAGATCTATAATGTAGTCCAGGAGCAAATCAGTAGAGAGGTCTCTCATCATTCTGTTAAGTTGTCCAGATGTCTTGTCTGATGATGTGTTTTTCTGGTTTGGACTTTGAATGTTAAAGTCTCATACCCCCCTTCTAAATACATAGTTCTAGAAAATACAGTTAAACATACAAAGGTAAGAAAGATAGTCATAACTTGCTTATTTACAATGTAAGAGATCTCTTAACAGATGCTGTCTAAGAAAGTTTATCACAGTGAGAGATAGCGTAAAGACTTCTAAAGGCTACAGCAGTAAAAAAAAAAAAAAAAGATGGAAAAGAGTGTTTTATTATTTATATCAGAGAAATACAGCATAAAAGCTAATTTGTGAATGTACATTATTTTTTTAGAATACCAGGACAGTATATTTTCTGTTTATGAAATATGTTCAGTGTTCATAAGCAAGGAGTACACAATAATCTAGGCACACAGCTGTGGAAGGACATCTTAGCTGTAATCATTCAAAGCAAATATTTGGCTCTATTCCTTTAGGTGATGAATCTCCTAACCCCCACTGCCAAACAGTAGCATAGCAAAAGTTATAATGAAAGGATAAAGTGAGACTTCTCAAGAAGAAACTCCTGATTTGGGCTCTGGAAGTCCAACACCATTGTTGTCAAAGCATCAAGTGCTGACACTGAAAATGGCACTGCATCCACATGGCTGGTGAAACAACTTGCAAGGTTAAAAGTTATGTTAGATGGAGTTTTCACACTGGGGATTAAAAGACACATGTTTGGATCAGTTAAAAAGTTTTTCACATCACTTTCATAAAACAGAAGAAATCGACAGCAGTACAACTCACCACAGCAAAATTTCTCCAGACTGAGGCTTTCTATCTAGCCCAAAGTGAAGTTTTTGTCCTATTGCTTCATTTTTTGTCCTCTACTTAGAAGAATACTATGATTTTGGTAAGACAAAAAGGACAAAACATAACTTTCTTATGCCCTTTTGTACTCCCTTGCATGATTCCACGAGCATAGGATGGTAGCCAGCTGGCAGAGTCTTAAACAGTCTTGAAATAACAGACTAGAGAAAACGAAAAGTGCCTGCAACACAACATGGGAAATACAGGCTCTGTTGCTGAGCTATTTTAAAAAAAATAAAAATCAAAGTCAAAATGGATCACAGAGAAATGAAAAGTCACAAAAGCTGACTCCAATCTTGTGAAGCTGAGTTTCCTAGGTTCCCTCTGTAGCCAGAAGAGTCCTCTAAGGTGCAGTTCAGATCAGGTGTTTGAGTAGCTGTGAATCTCTCTTTACAGGAGATTGTGTTCTCAAGGAGTAGCATAGGAAAGTCAAAGATTGGGCTAACTTGCTAAAGGTGACGTTTTTGTGAGTACTTACATTCAATGTGTCTCCTAGGTGTCAAATCCCTACCTTGTGTGCTGCATGACAATTAATTTTGAGTTGGGCTCCAATTCAGAGCAGACAAAATTATTTCCTGTTGGGGATATGTGGGACTGGGGTATGGGCTATAGCACATCATCATTTTGTCTTTATACAGAAACCAGATTTGAGCTGTGATTAAACTGGTTTACCCCACTGCATCACAGCCTCCAACCCCCGCACCCCAACCCTACAAGACCTACTTTTCTGGAGTGTCCCAACAAACCTGGTAGTCTCAGATATCCTCCCTAACTTCATGTCCTACTCTGTATAACACTCTTGGCGCAAGAGTACAAAAAAGTACAAAAAGAGTACAAAAAAGTACAAAAGAGTACAATACAAAAAATTGTGAAAAGTCTTGAAACAATCTACTTACTAAAATGCATGCAGCTTAGAGAAGAGCATGGCTCAGGTACAGAAAACTATGGCCTAAGGCTTGGAAGAAGGAAAGGCTCCAGACAACATTTCCATACCAGTGCCCTTGTCCATGGGAAGATCTCTCAGCCATATGACAAAATGACCAAGCATGTGCATTAGAAAAAAACTAGTTTTTGGAATCCATGTTTGCAAGGCATCCAGCCTCCCTAGCACGTATAAACTTTATTTGGAGCTGTGTGGGAACACCACCTGCTCACACTGCTCCAAGAAATTCCACTTAGAACATTCAGAAGCAGCTGGGATGTGAATATTTCATTCATCTCATCAGAAGCTGAAATTAGGATTGAAAACATAGAGCATGCATTCTACATACATTCCAAGAAAATATTTATTTCTTAATATTTTTGTTCACTGAAATATCACAAATTGTTTATAGCTTCATTTCTTGTTTATGCTATGGGTTGATGTGGTTTATATTAAACATTGTAAATAACTTTAAGGTAGCAAATTTGCCATGATTCAAGCCAGTTGACCTACAGGTAAAAAACAAAGTAAAGCTGGAATCAATAGTTTCCACTGTGACCATCAGTTGTGCAGCACATAATGCTCTACAGTATGGTGGGCATGGGAAGAAATTACCTGGGCTTTATAATTGTATTAATCTTCTACTCCTGTAATTTTCAAAAGCATAGTGTTACAAAGAAAATTCCATGTGCTCCAGGAGGCCATAGAGTGAGGACTCTGCAACTGATAACTCTAAGTCCAGTGAATATATATTTCAATGGCTGAACTAGTGGCACATTTTTCTTTATACACACATAAGAGAAGCAAGATTCAACAAACAGCAAATTTTCCTTGGCTGAGAAGAGCTAGAATGCCTGAGGCTTCTTTTGATGTCTCAGTTCCTTGAAAAATTTTGTTCCTGTTCTGGTCTAAATCCTTTTACCTTTTTCTAGTTGTGCTTATATACCTTCCACTATTACTTATTTTCTAGTCATAAATTAAAAGACTGACTGTAGCAATGATCTTTGGAACCATTTTACTGAAATATCCAATCAGGCAGAGATAGATTCCTATTCCTCCACTTAGGAAAATTTATTTTATTCCTACTTGGGTATTATGAAAAAAAAATGCCACACACAGATAACTACTATCTGTGTATTTGGACACACACACAGCTAGTTTTGGACCAAAAAGGTTTGTTAGGTTTTTGAAGTGGCAATAGCAAGCAGAAAATCCATCTTACAAAAGCACAAAGACTCCTTCTTTAGTAGTTCATTTGGGCAGGTCAAGCTGCTTTTGTGAAACCAGATTCTCTCCAGATATATTCATTTACTAATTCCTGTGTGGATATGTATTGTTGATTTGAGTACCTCATTAGAGTAAGCGCCTCAAAACTGTTACTTCTCACTCATTGAAAAATGTAGAACAAGAGATGTAAAATTAATTGGAGATTTTCACCTCTCTACCTTTTTTTCTGGCCTGGATCTTTTGCTCCATGTGCCTATGTATAAAAATCTCCACCCAAAACATTCAGGCCAAAGCTAGAAAGGCAATGTTTGGAGAGGAAGACAGACTTATCTCTGAGGAAATATGTGACTTTTAGCCAAAATCAATTTTTTTGAGTAATCTATTATAGAAAACAGGCAACGTTGCCAATGCCAGGTCATTGGTTTACCTTGCTATTAGTTGAGACATTCAACTTCTTGCATAAATGTTTTCTAATTTTCATATTCAGATCAATTTTATACTATGCCATCACCCTGTTCTAGGCACCTCATTTAGGCCCTTGCAGTACCTCACTACCATTTACTCTACAATGTACTTGTCTTCCTGTTTCCTTTGAGCCAAAGAGTAATTTTTCACATTTTATTTGTGGAACACTAAACATTGGGAAACACCAATTCCCAAAAAATGACAGTGGTGTTGCAGGGATTAGTTCTTGCTCCATGTGCCCTAATCTTTTTAGAAAGGGTAAAGGTAAGGATGGAGGGATTCAAACACTGTCCATGGTTTTGCATAGAACAGAAGGAGCATTTTGCTACTTATATACCTGCCCTGCCCTGCTTTTTGTAGTTATTTTTCCAGGGCAGTCCCAGAGGGAAGATGTTGGAGATGAATTATGTAATACAGACTATAAACTAGAGGCATGGACACTTGGACAATTTCATGCCTGCCTTCTGGAATTTCCCTTGTGCCCGTATATCTTCAGTTCCCTGTTTGTTTGTGGCAGTAACTAGTACCATAGGTTAACCTTCTGTAGTACCATTAAAATCATCCTCACAGACTCAGAGCTCTCGCAGTGTTTAAGTCTTCAGCATTGGATACTTCTGAAAACACTTGAATATCTTAGAAACCCAACAACAACAAAAATCCTGGTAACTTCCCTCCTTGTTAATTATCAATAAATTGGGACTATTATTAAAACAGCATAAATCCATCAAGAGTTGGAAGTTGCCAGAGCTCCTCGAGTCAGAATTTCAGTGTGGGTTCCAGGCCTCCTGTATGGAAAAACTGCATGTGTAGTGTGTGAGCATGCACTTCTTGATCTCTTTTAATCAAGATAAAAATGGATAATGTAACAGCAGAGTTCTGAGAAAGAATGCAAATCGCTGTGCATTGCAATGAAATGTTTCCCCTTAGGATTAGAATGCCTACTAAGACTCCTCAGCATGAGCTGGAGCTGATATGTGAAGCTTTTTCTTGCATAAAGGCAGACAGGCTAGAGCTCAGCTGGGCCAACCATAGGGCCTGGTTCTTCAGCAGTTAATCAGGCAAAGCACCTGGAGAAGTCAGAGAGGTTTGCCCCTTAATGAGAATTACCCAGCTAAATCTCCCTCTGCAGGGCTGGCAGTGTAATCCCGCAGCAGGAAAATGATACATAGGGACCCCTAATAAAAGTCTTTATTTCCTTTGACCACTGCTAGCATTTTAGGTCCACAATGGCCTTGGAAGTTATCAGTCGTACTTTGTTGGCCAGCACATAACGTTCAGAGATAATTCCTCTTAAGAGCCCTCTGCTTAAACCCACTTATGTCTCTTCTGCTCCATGCAGTTTTTCTTCCACCTCTGTAACTCCTGTGGGGATGAAAGGATCTGGAACTGCCTGCCTCTTCCTTTTATTCTTCCTAGGGAAATAAAAATAGACAAAAATGTGTAATATTTATTTATCAAGAAATATTAAATCATGCTACAAATTAAAGAGAAATATATATTACAAAAGTGTAATTACGAACTTGGACATTTGATCAATGGTATTGCATGGCAAAAAGGGTTAATGTGGCAGTTCAACCACAATAGCTTTGTGAGCTCTCTCAGCCTTCAACAAAGGTGAGAAAAGGTGTGTTAGAGGAGCCCCAAGTGAAAAAGCCTTCCCTTAAATTTCATTATTTCACATTCTCCTTACATTTAAAAGATGATATTACCATGGCTCAGCTGAGGGTTGGTAAAGAAACAGTAACTGACCACAAGGGTGATACATGTAAATGGGAATGGTGAGAGGAACACTTTGAGAGCACCTCATATGGCTTGCAAGTGGGAATATATTAGCTCACATCTCTCAAATATATTTCTTCTGCTTTGATTTTCTGTGCTGCTAAACCATCACTGAGATATCTTACTGGTTCAGGAAAAAAAAAAAAAAGGAGCAGTAAGATACACGATCTGTTAAAGCGAAGGCTGCATTTTTAATAGCTATAACAACAGAACTAGGGGAAGCAATAACTAAGTAGTTCATCCCTTCACAAATCTGTCAGGACACACTCTCTTCATCTGCCAAAACAATGGTAGTAATGCAGAGAAGTGCCTAATATTATTAAGTCTGAAATACAGATGCAACAAAGAATTATCAATGTTAGTACATAACCCTACTAGTGAGGCCTCCTGGAAAATCTGCTTTTATCAGATTTTCCCCATTAACACCAACGAATAATGTGGAAAAAGTCTTTTCCAGCCCACTAAAAATGAACCAGCCAAAATGCAATGTAAATAGAGGACTCCAGCAGCACGAAACAAACTTGATGCCTATAAGTAAACTGAGATGAAGTATGAGTGAAGCAAAAAAACCAGCACTGACTGATCTGTAAAATACTAGTAAGACCTCCAAAAATTTCTTCAGCTCCACCCAGATGTGATGCTGCTCATGTTAAAGAAGAAGTGTATCTCCATTCTTTCCTGTGACTGCCATGCCAGGTGATCCAGTCCCCGTGCTCTTTGGCACAGGATGCCTACTCCTCTCAAGTAAGTGACAATACTCTTTATAGAGACATTAGGACTTCTTTGGACAACTATTTCTATACAGGAGTACTTTAAAAATAGCAAATAAAACTAGCCATGAATGTCAATTAAGTAGCCCTTGGCACACTTTAATTCCTTTACTGTAAGTGGGTGGCATAGCAATCTTTTTAGTGTTTATCACTGAGATTTCAAAGTGGACACAGAATTAGAATTTTAATTCATAAGTGTAATCATTCAGAAAGAAATGCATTTACCTATGTTGACTTTAAAATAAGTGTTTAGAAATGCAAGACTTCTCTTGTTTATGGGGAAGAAAGTCTGATTATCAGAGCTCCAAATTTAGGGATCACTCCTCACATCTATTGCTCTGCTGTCAAAAACTTTGATTTGTTTTGTAAGCACAGACTGTATTAACAAATAATGATGTTAAGCTTAATTCCAGTGAATTTTTCTCCTGCTTTATCCTGTCCCCCTGTACATCAAAATCCTTGCTCCAGCTTGCTGAAGTTCACCTGCATGTTTCCAAACACTGGAAATGCAGAGGAAACTGAAAAAGGGACTTAGCAACAACAGCAACAACAACAACAACTAAAGGTAATCTTATATATAATTTTTTTTTAATGTATGTAATTATAATACTAATTTCCTGAGCTCTTTCTTGAGGATACTCTATTGCCTGCAGGGGTCACTGTGACTTCCTCAGGCCTCTACTACAACTGAAATCAAAAAGAGCCAAAAACCAACACAAAATTATCTATATATAAGAAAACAGCTTTCTTTGTTCTGGTTTTTTATTTTGTTTTGTTTTGTTTAAATTATAAAATTACTATCCCATCCTCAGAGCTTGTTATCAGGACTTTGACAAATTAAAGTAATACTCTTTCTCTGATGTTTCGGTGTATGGGCAACTACATGATTTACCAGCAAACTTAAAATTTGGCCTTCTCCACTTACCCCATGCTTTGCCAGTGTATTTCAATAAAGAGGTCTTCAGTGTATTTCAAAGTAATCCTGGAGAGAAACATCTGAGTAATCTAGGGGATGCCCAAAGCCTCTGCCTTCCCCCTCCCCCTACACTGGTGCTTCTGCAAGCAGAGCCTGTCAGACCCTTGCAGACTGATTGCATATGTCACCTTCTCGCATGCTGGCCCTCCTTCCACTACTTTTGTGCAGTAATAGTACAATAACTTTCCTGTACAGTGACTCTCTGTATCCATAAAAAGAAGGGGTTGGGTTTTTCTCTGAAGATCACATCCCAAAGTCTTTGCTCAGCCCTTACCCTTGCAAAATCTCATTCAAATCAATGGATATTTGCATGAGAAAGCAATCACTTAAAATTAGACCTGAGTGAAATAGGGCTTGGTGAGGGAAAGGGGGAGGTAGTGGTGAGGGGTAATAGGTGCTTTCATTTCATGCAGCATAACATTTGAAGCATTTGATGTGGTTTGTTATGATTTGTTCAATCAGATTATATAAATTTTTAGATTATTTGCCTGTTGAGGTAAATTGGACTCTGAAGAATTTTTCTCCTTCCTTGAGGCTCTGCTTGCAAGATCAATACCTTTTGTTAATAAAATATAACCAAGATAAACACAGTCAAGCAGGATAGATCACTCAGCCAGAAAACAAAAAGATACAATTCAATTGCCCACCCCAGGTCAACACAGTTCTCTGCTACCAAAGGTGCTGGACATTTGGCTTGACAGTGAGTGATCCAGCTGATGACAATGTGCCAGTAAAGTCTAAATCAAAAATGTAGGAGAGCGAAGGGGGAGAAAGGAGAGAGAGGGAAAAAAAAAAAAAGCCTAAAACTTTAGGTCCAGCACTCTCTGCTACCTCATAAAAGTTTATTTGTTGTTCAGTGGTGCGGTGCAGGCACCCAATATTTACATCTGACATTTAACAAGACATAATAACTTGAAGCTGCCTCATCATGTTCTGCAAGTGACAAGGGATGACAATGAAGACAATTTCTGTAGGGACCAAAGAAGTCTGTGCTGTAGCCCTTTTTCTGGTTGAAGATCTTGTATTTTATTGCTTCTCCACATAAAGCTTCCTGTTTATGCTTTATGCTGATGGAGTGAATTTCATCCTTCATAATTTCGCCTACCCTAGCTCAAGTCACTTAGGAAGCCTTTATGTAGATTTTACACTTAATTAACATAACCTCATCAGACTTGGTATTTTCTGGAATTTGCACAAACTGGATGTCTTAAGAAACCCTGGCTGAAGACGAAGTCATAAGGATTGCTTTGCTGAGAAAGAGGGAAAAAAATATTGTATACAGCAAAAAGGCGAAGAAAAACTTGGATTAGAAGATGGATTTAGTGGGTTAAGAAGTCACAGAACTTTGACAAAGCACAACTTTACTAATACAAATAAGAACCCTGAGCTGCATTTGAATTCACATCACACCACACCTGGTAAGAATTAGTCTAGCACAGCATCATCAATCATAGTGTGGTTGTCAGTTTTGACATCCTTTAAGTCTACGTTGTATGCTTAATGACTACATTACAGAAAATGTAAACAGACACCAAACATTAAGGTATGCCCTATATTTTTTTTTAAAGTTGCTGTATATTTAAAATAAAAATAAAACAGCACCAATGGTGTTTTATATAGAGAGTGAATTAGTAAACTGTAAAACAAGCTGCTATAAAATAACCAGAAAAAAATTTCTTAAGTGAAGAATTAAAAAAAAAACAAAACAAAAACCACAAACCAAAAAAGCTTGAAATATTAAGGAACTTTGATTAACCCAATTAGGGAAAACAACAATTAATATTTAGAGGAAATAGACAGTCTCTTATATTTTGCTATTTATTTTTTCTCTGTCAAATATCATTAAATATTATCGTTACTATACTATCCTGTGAATTTTTCAGTTTGATATTGTGACCATGATTTACTAATAAGGGCTCTGGAGTGACTTGTGAGCCCATTACAAGCCTTGTATTAATAATTCATAAGGGAAAAACACGCTGAAGAAGTGCTTGGGATCATGACCTAAGTGAAATGCCTGAGTTCAAACTAAAAATTTCCCAAATTCCATTTTTATTATTAGCAGATTTCTAGAATTACAACACTTACAAGAAAGCTTTCAGTTCTGCAGCTCAGAAGGTTGACCAGGTATTATGACTATAAGGCCCCTTGTCTCATTTGCTTGTGTGATTTGTGATTAAAACTTCCACAGACTTCAGCGAGTGCAGGATCAGGTCCCTCAACAACTCATTCAGGGTGAAGCTTAATTTGAGATTTTAGTGAGTGTTTATTTTCTGGCTCAACAGCAGTATATTTTGGAAGTGCGAAAAATGTATGCAAAGAAGGGTCAAAATCCAGATGTAAGAATGAATAGCAAGAATACATTCAAAGGGTACGGGAGGAGTGAGAACTGTAAATACATCTGTGATTTGGTCTATGAAAGGTAATGCTATCTCTTTACTGAAACTGCATTGTACATTCTTGTGGTATGTATGTAACTGCCTCTGCAGAGAAATTGCAAAGGTTTTAAAATAAAAAAGCCTCACTTTTTCTTTGTAAATTGGTTTCGTTAAGCTTCCAAAGTAAAAAGAAGAGCCAGAAAACAATGTTTTATTTTAATTCATTTGAATAATCTTCCTCATTTCTGTGATCTATCACTCACAGATAAGAAGCACCTTGCAAATTTTATTATTTCTAAAAAATAGATCTTATTCAATTAGCAACTGTCACAGAAAAAAAACAGACAATAAACCTCCAGATCTGATTAAAATGGAAAGAAACTTTGAGTGAAATGCTTGATATTGAAAACTGTTATATTTCTTTGAAAATGAGCATTCTTACAGAAATTACTTTCAAAGTTTTTTACCGAGCATGAATTAAAGACCCAAAGTTGGTTTAATTTTAGTAATCAGGAACAAAATTTGAATTGGGACCTGCCTCAGATATCTGTAGTTTTAATTTAAATATTTGTTTTAGGAATAATAATGTTTCAAAGCTTTGAAGGAATTAATGTATTTTTGGAATCTTGATTTATTCATTTAGGACCCCCAATCATTTCTAGAACAAGGAAACAAAAAAACAAACAAACAAACAAAAAAACAAACAAACAAAAAAAAAGAGACACATTCTCTTTACACAGATTCTAACTTTATTAAACCATACCAGCCCAGAGAAAGAAACTTCACAATTTATCTCAGTTTGTAAATGAGAATTTTATTATTACAACATAAATTATATAAAAACAATACAATTAAAATACTTCTACATGTTTGATTACCACAGGTCTGTATTATTATTTAAAGTTGAGATTCTTTTCACAAATATGTGTGTGGGTGGCACAGTAACAAAGTTTTGAATATTAATTACTATTTTTGTAAAGCAATTCTCATAAGTCTTTGGTCTAAGCCAACAGTCCTTAGTCAAGCAAAACAACATGAATGCTGTGGGAGTTTTACCTAGCTCAGTACTTCAATCTCCTTAGAGATCAATAAATAATTAAAAATTTTATCTTACAAGCCACTGTGTTTCAAAATTGACTTCTTTTAAACTAATCTTTGCTTTACCTGGAGAAATGGTAGAGAATTTCTCCCCTGCCTTTGTGCCTGCACCCCCTTAGAAAAGTGTGTGCAGGCAGCATCCTGCATTGCTATATCCAGCCCTAGTTTGGTTCTGAAACAGTCCCATTTTTGGATTGCTTTTCCTTTAACAACCTGATTACCCTGCACGATTTACTTCCACAGTTCCAGAGCTCCTCATTACTAATTCCAATAGCAAAAACTTGCCAGAACCCCTGAGAAGCAAACCTTCAAATCTAGAATTAAATAACAGAATATATTACACATTGGACATTTTCAGGGAAACTTTACTTGAGGGGAAATAAATACAAACATCTTGTTCTGTGATCTGTAAGTAAACTGCTTCAACTGCTGTGCTGCTCCTAAAAAAGCTTTTGACAATTATGTCTTTTAAGCCAAAGTTTTAACAGTGTATTTCTGAGGCAGGCATACATACTTCATACAGTATTAATAAAGGGTTTCCTGAATTAATGAAAACGTGCTGTATTCTCATATAATGAATAAGCACCTAATTAAAAGCACAGTAAAACCAGATATTAGTGTGGTTTTTTTGTGGTTTTTTTTTTTTTTTGTGTGTTTTTTTTTTTTTATTAATATCTATTGTATTACTTTGGCCTTTAATGTGAGCCTCTTCAGCTGACTGATGCCCAAAGGGGAGCTAACAAATCGCTCAGCTGGTGGCTGACACTGGTCCTGAAGAAAGCTAGTAAGGAACACTTTGCAGTCTTTCAGAGCCTCTACACCAGCTGTCACCCAGCTATGGGTGCTGAAAAGCTCCTGTCACTTCATCCAAAGGGATTTACTTGGTCAGAAGGAAAATTTAAATACAAAGCATGCAGCTAAGAAGCTAGTGAAAAGGATTATGAGTGCACAAGAGCACATGTGTATAAGACACTAATACATCTTTAGGAAATTCAGATCCCCAAAGCCAGGATTACTGCCAGAGGCAGGGTGGTATACGTACGCTGGGACCTTTACCATTAGAGTTATTATCTCCCCACTATTCAACTTTATACGTCTTTCATCATGTGTGTGTGTGTGTGTGTGTGTGTGTGTATGTATGGTGGGGGAGTCTTGGTGGTTGTGAGGAAGAGGAGGAGGTTGTTTTAAAAAAGGGGAGCAGGAAAAGACATTACAGACCTATTATTCTGGAGAATTCACCTGCATTTAAAACAATTTATAGCTTTTTATTTATAATCTACTGCTAAACATGTTGTGTGTGTGTGTGCACCGTTGTGCAAATGGACCCAAATGTCTAGCTTAATTGTTTAATCACGACTAAAGCAAACAAAGCAGGGCGTCTTATGCTCAGCATCAGAGCTGCTGAGTGGAGGAGTTGAACATGCAGGAGAGGTGCATGGCAGGAGAGACCTGCCCAGACAAGGCAAGGCTGATCTGTGTGATCTGGCCATCTTTGCAAACTGACACTGAAGAAAATGGTACGCTAGACCTGCTAGCTGAGCTTGAAGGGCAATGATAGTGGGAAGAATACAGTGCTACAGAGTTGGAAACGCTCTGCTGGAAAGAGTTGAGGGAGGGCAATTGAGTCTCAACTCTAGCCTTCTCTTCTTGTTCCTTTTATTTATTTACTTTTAAAAATTTTCTCTCATATATGTAAGTTTAAAATCACCAAAAGGAAAAAGAAAGGAGTAGAAAACATGAAACAGAAGAGTAACGTCTATAAAAACTTACATTTTTTTTAGTCAGCTTAACAGTGCAGTCACACTCGACTCGGAGCAGCACCTATGCTGGCTGGCCTGTGGCAAGGTACTGCTATTATTCTATGTTAATAGAGCCCCCGGCTTGACCTGCTGGATGCAGGAAAGTTGATGATGCCAAATTGTTTAGAGGAGGAACGGAAGGCGAGACCACAGCACGAGATGCCGGCTAGCACTGGCGAGCTCCGGGGAGGGTCACGCTGGCGGTGGCCGCTGTGGGCCGGGCCCCGCAGCCTGGGCTGGGCCCCGCTGAGGCGGCTGGGTCCCGCAGCCCCGGTTGGGTCCCGCAGCCCCGGTTGGTGCCCGCAGCCCCGGTTGGGTCCCGCAGCCCGGGCTGGCCCCGCAGCCCCGGTTGGTGCCCGCAGTCCCGGTTGGTGCCCGCAGCCCCGGTTGGTGCCCGCAGCCCGGGCTGGCCCCGCTGAGGCGGCAGCGTGACCGAAACGGGGGGAGAGCAAGGCAGGACGGCGAGCGGCTGAGGGGAGGAGGGGATGCAGGCAGGCAGGAGGACTGGCGTGCGGGCTTCAGGTCCTGCGGACAGTGGTGAGGAGTGGGAAGGTGGCAGTGAAACGTGGAAGGTTTAATGGAGAAATCATATTTTTGGGGAGATTCTCCGCGTAGAGCCTTCAGGAACATTAGCATTATGTGCATTACAAAGCAGGAGGTTTAACAAAAAGTGCTACACAGCGAGAACCAGCTGCCTTTAGAGGTCACTAGAACATCACTGCAGTATTTACAAATTTTCCATGAAGGATTAGAAGTTAGTCTAAAGCCCTATATACACTATATACAGTTCCAGTGGATGCTGTATACTATTATCTAAATTTCTTCACATAGACTATCATGTATCTGCCCCAGCAAAGCTGATTAGTGAAGCAGCTTGACTCTGACATATCCTTTATGCCAGCCACAAGCTGCCTTGCACAGCCACCTTATTCACTGTGGAGACAGGCCTGAAGCAAGATTGTAACACAACAAATGCAAATGAGATGAGCCTTACACCACTTAAACTGAGATGGCTATAATATGTAACAGCTTAATGTGCCCACAGAAGTGATTGATGCCCCCTCCATATCTCTAAAGAGCTTCAGTTTTGATGCACCCTGTTTTTAACTAATATTTCTTATTACTCCCCTTCCTGGCAATGTTTTCTTTTTTTTTTTTTTTTTTCCTTTTTTTTTTTTTTCCTTTCGATGTAGGGAAAAGAGGAATAAAGCAAAATGCCAAACAACTTATCAAAGCTGGTTGTCTCTCAAGATCCTGACTTATGAAAACAAAAATTTGAAGGATCCCTTAAACAGCTCTTAGCAGTTTGTTTAGATTATTCTAGCAGAAGTTTGGTCCTTTGTAAATCAGCTATCTTTGATATTAAGCTGGAAAGAAGCAAGGAAAGATATTAACTGGAAAGAAGCAATGCTTGTAACATGACAAACCGTTTGTCTTGGGGCAACAGAGTCTTAGGGCTCAGTGGGCTATTGCCATTAATCCAAACAGACCACAGCCCCACAGTCACTCTGCCTGATTAGCATATAGCCATGAATTTAAGGAAAAATTCAGACAAATCTAAAAACCTCTACTAACCTAGCTGGCTATACATTTCTAATCAGAATTCTTTCCCTGT